TTCTGTTTTCCTCTGTAATAATAAAAATGGTCTGTGATAAAAATAAAGAGATCATAAAATAAGGGGGTTATTTTATTCTGTTCATAGAATCGCTGAAACTGAGCCTGAAGTAGTTCTCTAGCCTGCATTTTAATAAGTGTGTTAAAAGTTTGGAGAGCATTCAGGCATGAAAGAAAAAAAATTGAGTTCGTGGTTGAAAAAAATCTTTAAAGAGTAAATTTACTAAGAGTAGATCTTTTTAACTGACTGTAAAGGAGATTTTGAGGTGAATTGTGATTAGCAAGAATTAAATATTGAACACACCATAAAGAGAAGTAGTGAGTTTTCACTCTTTTCACCTATCCATTCTAGTTGAACACCTTTCAGAGACTGATTGAATCTAACACTAATTTTTGGGCTCAAAACAGACATAGACTGGTGAAAGGGAGGCTTTTGTGTTTGTGTGTGTGTTCGTATTGCTTTTTCTGTTACTTTGGTTTTTGAGTCCTCAACTCTGTAACAATATTGACCCTGGCAGTAGTTTAGGAGTTTTACCAATAAATATCTACTTGAAGAATCAGCCAAATCAGCCATGGCTTCACAGATGGAGCAGATGTCCTGAATATTCCCTTTTACCTCATTCCTAATGCGGGTTTTTTTGTTGTTGTTGGTTTTTGTTGTTGTTGGTTTTTGTTGTTGTTGTTCTGATCTGAGAAGTGCTTTGAATGCTCGCAGTAGGGCATGAAAGACACTTAAAGGTGAATGGAAGCAAAATGAGCTTTCAGGCACTTCATGCTGCCTGGATATGGAACTGAAACTGTTCTAGCTTCGTGACATGACTTATACTTCCTTTATTGACAACACTGAACTCTTGCAGAGTTTATGCCTCTGCCTGTAATAAACTCTGCAGGTTTTCTCTCTCTAGGCTCCTATCAGTGAAGCAAACTTAGGCACTAGAAGGGGTTTTATTCATCACTGAATCCTATTTTATTTTTTATATTATGCCGTAATACATTTAGCTGGGCAGTTATTGTTACTGAGTTGACAGAGTGAAGGTACAGGATGGAAGTATTTGGAACAAAAAAAATAAATGATCATACTATTTTGTTCTAAAAAAAGTAAAGAAATATAAATTAGAAGTTATGAATAGAAATGAAATGTCAGTCAGCAATATTTCAAGTTGAATCCAAGGCTGATTGAGCTGGATTTCTCAAGTTACAATGAAATTCTTGCTATGCTTTAGCTTACCAAATATAAGACACTGAAACAATCACCCAATACATAATCCTAATTTATAATAAATAATTAATAATTGTGATTTATTATTAATTATCATAAATAATTATGATAGCATAAAATTTCTTTTATATCATGATCAAGTTATTTTAACTTTTGCATCTTTCTTTTTGTCTTCCATGACTGGCTTTTGAGTATGTAAAGTGCTGGGTATCGTCTGTGGTGTGTGTTTACCCTAAGTTCTCTTTAAAATCAATGGCCATTCTTGGCAACATACTGAACTGGGCTTTGGGCTTCAATCTGGCCAATTCTTAGGCAATATTTTGAATATAAGCATGTAAGTATCATATTAACTGAGAGAATAACTTCCTATTTTCTATTTAGTCCAAGCTGCACTTGGCTCAATGATGGCTTGAAAAGAAGGCATCACCTATTCAATTGCTGCAAGATGGATTTAGGTTTTAAGGCGTGCTGCCAAATTCACATTTACAGTTAAAGAGAGTGATTTAAAATCCATTGGCAAATTCTGAGGGAACCTTCCTAGTGAAACAGTTCCAAATTTAGAAACTTCCATTTCAGACAATTCAACTGAATTGTATTAGCTGGAATATCCCAACTTATTTTTTTAGAGGGTCTCAGAGGTAACACTGCACATAAAACCCTCCTTGGGGAATCAGGGAACCAGACACTTACTGGGTAATCCTGAAGCTGAAAAATGTATTTAAAACTAGACTGAAAAGGAATAAACTAGCAAAATCCTTAGGGTTACTGAGGTCCTAGGAACGGTTGAGGACAGTCCCTCCAGTACTGTCTTGTTTTGTCTTACATATTGATGAAAAATGTCCAGAGGTCTTTCAAACACTCTCTGGTGCAAGGTAGTTGATTTGTGAGTTTTTCTTCTGGTATGCTTCAAAATACTACTCTCATCAGAAATCAATGGATGCATCAGTCAACTGAATACATCTCCTCACTGGTTTGCAAGAGCTGCCCACTCTGCACTGAACTTCCTTTGATATAAATAGATTTTGCTGTGGTGGCTACCATGACCTTCCTTTGTGATGTAAACACCTCAGAACTGAGCAATAACTTCTGCCCAAGAAAGAGTCGAAGCTATTTCCTCCCCTTCCCTACCTTTCCTGCAAATACAAATGTGTATCATATTTCTGGTGATTCGTCCTCTAGAAATGGAAGAAAGAACTTGTCAGTCCACAGAATGAGATGAATTATGTCCTGTGTCTCCTCCTCAGGTTTATTTCAAATTCAATAGATTAAAAAGAAAATGTACAGCCCAAGTGGAAGTGGAGGGTTCAGTTCTTCCAAATCTTAGTTTTAATTTCTATAACAGCTACAAAATACAGCTAATTTTTTCACAGTCTTCCTGTGTTTAATATCTTTGCAGATAAAGTTAGAAATGCACTAAATTGTTGGTGCCTAGATACAACTCTCAGAGCTCTTTAATAAAATAAACTTAGTTTGAGATTCCATGAGCTGTTCCTGGGCAGTGGGTGAATCATTTCCCAGGTAGCTCAGGAACGGAATCACCTCAGGCCTAGATTCCTAACCAACAGGCAGTGGGCATTGGTATGTGCTGGCAGAGGCTCCCTAAGAGCCTACAAGGTCCTGGCCCTGAGATCTTTCCCTGACTCCTAACTAAGGCTTTTATTGCCTCTTCTTCCCCAGACTTTTTTGCTCTTCCACCTGCTTCTTGTGGGTCATCCTTGTGCATGGATCAGCTTGCTTGCTTGCCTGTGGCCTGAATCTCAACCATGCTACTCCTTTGTTTTGGTATTAGTATGTATGATTTAACATATTTATAGCTGGCCGAATATCTGATTGTTCTCATTTTCTCAATTTAATTGGACCTTCTGGTCTTCCCAGTTCTTAGATCTGGTTTGTTCTGGCTGCAGCACTTCCATCTTCACATAAATCTACTGAAGGCCTAACACTAGGTTCCTTACACCCTGGTTATAATGCCATTGTAATTTATTGTGCATGTCTTTTATACAAGATGATGAAAGCTGGGAACCTGTCTAAACCAATATTTCTATAGGCAGCTCTGAGAGAATTTGGTTTCCCTGGGATCAGATTCTTGCATACCAGACAGTTGTCTGCTCTTGCCAGTTGTGTTTGTTGTTAAAGTAAAAGATATTGCTTCTACCTATAAACTTTGCCTGCAGTTACACTGTTCACTCTGAACCAGCTCCTCAGCAGAGAACAGCCCTAGCTGCTCTCACAAGCCCAGGCCCCATGTCAAATTCCTCTTGGCAGCTGTGGATGCTTTCCCCACTTTCAGCATCTGAAGAAGAAAAGAAGATTGAAGATAAGTGGGAATAGGTGAATAAAAAAACCCAGATGAATAATAATATTGTCTAACAGATAGAATCTAGTGCTGTGCTGGGAATAGCGGTAAAGTAGGACAGCTTTCCCCAAGAAGCAGCTCAAAGACTGTGTTCCCTGTTCCTTCAGCTCTGCTTTTGATTGTCTTCTGTTGCTGCAGCCTCCATGAATACCCAAAGTCTCCCTCCTTGAGCAGTGGGCTTCAGGAGGAGAGAGAGTGGGAGTATTTCTGGCCTCACACCCACAGTGTGATTCTGCCTGCAAATACCTCGTCTGTCTCTTCACAAGTATCAAAACCAAGGGTGGAATTGTGACCATACTAAAGCTGCAGGAAGTTCTGCATCCATTCAGAACTACAAGAAATACTTCTGCTAACTCCAAAATTTCCTAAATACCTCACCATTTGTTTTAACCAAGAAGATGGGCCAGAGCCTGGAGAGTGAATATAATCAGAATTATAATTGGCATCGACATGATGGATAATGTATCAATAGATGTACATAGGTAGATAATGATAATTCTTATTTTTGAAATTTCTTTAGAATAATGTTATGAATTTGGATTAAAAGAAGTGTTTGGTTTGCTAAACCCAATCTATATTTTGTAGTGTGTCCTGGATCAATAGTCTTTTGAGTGTATTTAGGCAATTGAGCTACTTGCAAACTCAGAAGCGAAGATTGTCCATGCGTGTAGCGAGAACAGGAAAAAGAGGGTGACGCCTTTGCACCACAGCGCTCGGGCAAAAAACAACACGGCAGAATCACCCAAAGGCAAAAAGCTGCTCCGGGGAAATGGAACTCAAGTTGTAACTCCTTTCCCCTCTCCCATCTCCCCCGCTCCCTGCCCCCAGGACGCACAGGGACTCCGCCTGTCCCTGTCCCTGCCCCGCACAGGCACAAACAGGTGACCTGTTGCGACAGGACCAGAGGTGATTAGACATTGGAAGGGGCTGCCCAGGCAGGTGGTGGAGTCACCTTCCCCGGAGGTGTTTAAAGAAAGACTAGATGTGGCACTCAGTGCCATGGTCTGGTTGACATGGTGGTGTTCGGTCATTCGGCTGGACTCGATGATCTCCGAGTTCTTTTCCAACCCAATGCACTCCGTGACTCCGTGAAACGCGCCCTTGCCGCTAAAGCCAGGAACGCCCCCCTCCAACCCGCTCCTCAAGCCCCGCCCCTTCGCGTCCCGGCTCGCTCTGGCCCCGCCCCCAAGGCCCCCCCCCCCCCCTCCCTTGGCCCCGCCCCTTCCCTTCAGGCTAACCCACGCCCCTTGCTGTGTGATCACGCCTCCACCCCTTAGCCCCGCCCTCTCGGGGCCGGGGGCGTGGCTGCGGCGCGCGCGGGGTCGCTGCGCGGTGACGCAGCAGGAGGAGCTGAGACGGCGCTGCCCGCCCTTCCTCCTCCTCCTCCTCCTCCTCCTCCTTCTCCTCCTCCTCCTCCTCCTTCGCCGCGCCCGCCCGCCCAGGACGCACCGGCGCAGCCGGAGCCCCTCCGCCGCCGCCAGGGCCCGGGGGAGCAGCCGGGCTGCCGCTGGCCATGGTGGCCCGCCCGCCGCCGGCGGGGCAGGAGCAGGCGCGGCGGCGGCGGCCGCCATTGCGCGCGGGGGCCGCGGGACTATGAAGGATGGAAGCGGACGAGGTGACGATCCGGGAGCAGAATTTCCACAGCCAAGTGCGGGAGTACACGGTAGGACCCTCCGCCGGGCTCTCCGGCTGCGCGATCCCCGCCCGCTCTCCTCCTCCCCGCTCTCCTCCTCCCCGCCCTGTCACTGCGAGACCCCCGCCCGCCGCGCTCACCGCCCCCAGCCCTGGCCCCATGCAGCCGGGGGGATGTCCCGCCCCCCCCCGCTGTCCTTGCCTGCCCCAGTGCCCGGAGGGACTCGGGGGCCCGTCCCGGGTGGGCAGCGCTGTGCGTGCTCCTCCCTCCGGGCCGGCTGGAGGATCCCAGCGCTGACCGACCCCCTGGAGCGTTTTCTTCTCCCCCTGCTTTCAGTGAAAAGGGAGAATGCTGTGTATCCATACAGGACATCGGTGTGCTCTATCGGAGTGCTCTCGGAACAGGTAACAGTCCAACAACCTCGTGAACAGTGTTCAGCCTGGGGAAGAGAAGACTGAGAGGGGACCTCATTAATCTGTATAAATATCTAAAGGGGGGTGCCAAGGGGGATAGATCAGGCTCTGCTTGGTGTTGCCACGGGCATAGGAGATGCACAGGAAGTTCCACTTGAACATGAGGAAGAACTTCTTTACTGTGCAGTGACCGTGCACTGGGACACATTGCCCAGAGAGGATGTGGAGTCTCCCTCATTGGAGATATTCAAGAACTGTCTGGACACAATCCTGTGCCATGTGCTCTAGGATGACCCTGCTTTAGCAGGGAGGTTGGGCCAGATGACTCATTGTGATCCCTTCCAACCTGATCCATTCTGTGAACACCTCAGCCCTCAGGTGCAGCCTTGTTCCTGTCAGGTGCACATGGGATTTTGTGTTACCGCTTGTGATACTGGGATCCTCCTGCCTTGTTAAGCTGTTTTCAGTGGCTGTGTGTAACCTTCATGTTTTTTCCCTGACCCCTCATGCCCAGTGCTCTCCCAATGGAGCCATACGGAGCAGGCAGGTGCAGCCCTGCATCCTGCATGCAGACAGAGAGAGCGGTTGTGGTTTCCTCTCTGACTGCCTCATAATTGTTTTCAAGGCTATTCAAAGCTGGTGGAGGTGTTTTGATGGGGTTCGTGTCTCTCCTGCTTCAATTCCAGGAAGGAAATACATGCTGCTCACAGCAGACATGCAGTGTTGTCTCCTGTGCACGTGCTGTCCCAGCTCAGCTGGGAGATCACGTTCTCTTGTGGTCACTGTTGTCTGAGAAAGAATGCATTTCTTGAATTAAAATATGATTTCATAATTTACCTTTAAGTATTTTTCAGCTACATTGGGAGACTCTAAAATCCCACTGTTAACTGATTTATGTAGGGCTACGGCTCGGTCATTTGGTAACAGAGACTTGCTTGGATCCCCAGAGCATTAATTCCTTTTCTGTATTTTAGGAATTGATGTTAAGACTTTCTTCTGGTGAAGTGTTCTCTTTCTGGGATGTTTTTTTCTGAAGAGTGCAAAACAAGCCTGTATGAAGAGAACTGTTACTTTAGGAGACATTTTGGACTTTCTCTCTTTTGGGAGGGCATGTAGTGTGTGTCCTGGAAGCTGTGACTAGTGAAGGGGCATAAAAAGTAAAATACTGTTTTATAAGAAAGGCTTTAAGCGTTATCTTCATCACCTTTGTGGTATGAAAACATGGGTGTATGCACAAATCACCTGTCTTCTCCCTCGTGTCTTTCCATTTGTGTTTGTGTGCTAATTATCTCCTACTTATTTCCACCAGAGTCTTGTTCTAATAAATCTTATGCTATGTATGGTGCTTTTGTATCTGGTAGGATGCACAGATTTTTGAGTCTGAAGGAACTGTGTGCAGCCTCTCTGGGTACTGTTACAAGTAGTGAAGGTCTATTAAACTCATAAAGAACTGTCTCATCTGTACTGCAGCTGCTTTTCTAAAGCTTTTTCAGCCCATTTAGAGCAGTGGGTAACTCTTCCTATTGGTGTAGCCATGTAAGAAATCATATAAGACATCAGTAACTCATATTTTAGAGATGCAGTGTTGTTTTGTTTGGACAGTGGAGACAGAATATACTTTCTCTTGAAACTTTACTTTGATCTTAACATGGATCACTAGCCACCTTTATTATTATTTAACCAGTGGGAATAATAATAACAATATTGCCTTTTAAGTCATGCATTGGTATGGTTGTGATCTAGTCTTTAATTTGTGTTGGAAGACCACAGGATTTTAGGAGTGCATAAAGTGCTGCCGCCCCCAGCTGAGTGTGCAGCCTCATCGCTGCAGGAGTATATTACAAGTATGAGTGCATTTGTGGTTGGTCTGAGCATGATGGAGCACACCGAGTGTATTCCTTACATGCACAATTATGTTAACATCCTCTCCTACCCATTCCTGTTCTTGCTGCTCATGAAGTTATGTGGTTAATATAATTTCTTAAACTATGCAAATAGACAGCTGTTGTGTGGGTAGTGGGCATAATCATCAACCCCTCAGCTGGAAGAGGGAACAGACTCCACTCTGACATATGCACAAAACCTTGATTCCAGCTGCAGGTGGGCTGGGGGCAGTGGAGCAGTTAATAGAAGGATTTTGTGTTACAAGGGGTAGCGACTTTAAATTGGAACAGGATAGGTTTAGAATAGTTATTAGGAAGAAATACTTTAGTGTGAGGGTGGTGAGACACTGAAACAGGTTGCCCAGAGAAGTTGTGGATGCCCCATCCCTGGAAGTGTTCAAGGCCAGGTTTGGCCTTGGAACTGGTTGATCTTTAAAGTCCCTTCCAGCCCAAACTGTTCTGTGGTTCTGTGTTTGTTGTTTAATATTACAGGGGAGGAAACCTGTATCTGCCTATAAGGAGCAAGACAAATTTATGTAATCTGGTTGTAGTGTCTTTGGAGAGCTAGTTGCGTGCCACAGTCTTTACTGGAAGCTAAAACGATACGTTCATGAGAGAAGAGAAATCAAAGTAAGCTGATGTAGTTGAAAAGAAAATCCTTTTCTCTTTTCTCTTAGAAATTTTCTTTGAACGCGTACAGGATTTTTAGACTGTGCTTTCTGATGGAGTCCTAAGGGCACACTAAACTTAGCTTCAGTGTAATGCATCATTTCTGTTTCATCTATTCTCTGAACTGGCAAGCTACAAAGTTTTCCATAAAGTTGTGTAACATAAAAAAATTCGAGGCTTGTTTTCCTTCTGCTGGTGGTGCCTGTCTCTTTCTGCAGGTGCCAACTTCTGCTAATTCCACCTTCAAAAGACAAATATTTCTGACACATGTTTATAGATTGAGCAAGGATAGGGAAAGATTTTTTAAAAAATAAATCCTTCATCTGCTTTTGAGGTGACTCAGTGGTTTAAAGCTTAATTTAACTCAGGCCCGTTTGCTCTTGACCTCATTTGGAGTGTCTGTATGGTACCTGTTTTTTTGAAGAGGGTGCCTGTTGGCAATAAAATCATCTGCCCTGTATTTTGTTGCTTCATGAGGATGATCTTTACTACTAGAAGCTCGTTAACTCCCTACTCTAGTTTCAGCATAGCTCTTCTATGTGAGTCTTCTATGTAGAGGATCTGTGTTTCAAACAGTTGTTGAAAACACCCAGACTCTCAGACTTGTGTGAACTTTAAAATTCAGATGCAGTGAAGTAAACATGGAGATTGTGAACCAATGACCCAAGTGTAAGAGACATGGCACAGCCACGAGTTTGCTCAAAGTCAGTGAGAGCCTTGACTTAACAAAGCCTGAGTCATACTCAGTTCTGGCTAAAAGAGGCATCTTTCTGAAAAGCAACTGTAGGTGATAACAAAATATAGAAGAGGGTTTGTATTCTGTACTTGATCAGCATTTGTATGAAAGAATTGTAAGGGCTGGACAATGTTCTGTGCTGGTCTGATACGATCTGTTACTTTGTACACTTAGTTTGCCCTTCTTGGTCCTTTAGGTTCATTTTATAATTTGCTGAGATCTTGCACATCCATTGAAGATATTTGAGCTTTTAGGGACCTGCTTTTCCCTTGTGACCTGTTATTATGTCTGTTTATAAAGTGTTCCATTTTCTGCTGGTGTTGTTGTGAACTGTTTATTTCAAATGTAAATCGAGTAAGTGCAATGGTTCAGTCTCTTTCTGGTCCCCTGGGGTTCCCTTTTTAGAATATTCTTACATTCGTTTTTTTCCAGTTTGAGTCCTCTATTCTGCAACATTAGTTTGGACTTTTAAAATTTAGATCTACTTTTTTAATTGTTATTTTTCCACTTAAAAAGTGTAGAATTTTGAGTTTGTAAAAATATACGTGTACACTTAGTTATGAGGTTTCCTTGGCGAAATACATACACTGTACTTGTATTTGTAGTGTGGGAAAAACTATGGAAGGACATAATTTTGTGACCATGGAATTATTACTTAGAAAGCTTAATAATACACATAGTATGTTTGGGAAGTAGTTTATTGTATTAAATATGTCATGAAAAAAATCAGTCCTGGTAAAATAAGTTGGAATACAGAAGTGGTGTTATAACTCTGAGTGTTTCATGCAACTTCAGGCAGATGTTGATACTGGTGTAATATGTAGTTTTATATTAAACGTGAGATGCCTCCATTTGAAGGTCTAAAAGTTTTCAGGCTTCATATACTAAATATTCTGAGAAACCTTGTTTCTCTATTTCTTAATGCAATTTCCTCTACTATAAGGCCTTTTTTTTTTAACCGTACAGCTTTTTAATATTAAGTTTGTTTCTTTCTTTTTTTTTTTAAAAGTGACAAGATTGTTATTTTATGTGCACAAATCTGAATATAAAAATAATTTCTAGCAGTTTAGAAAGGCCTTTTTAGGTAGTTGCAACTGTCTCATGTCTTTGATTGTTTGTTTGTTTGTTTGTTTGCAGTTTCACACTAATACCACTGGCTTTGTTTTCTTTTCCGATTTCTTTTCATACCTTTTGTCATCTTGTTCTGTTTTGGGGTAGATGGTGTTCAGGATTCTTCTATGAACTAGTTCAGGATTCTTCTATGAACTAGTGCAGTGTGGTTACTGCTGGCATTTGTCCCATATAGGGCTGTAAAATGAGAAAACACCG